TTTTCAGCATCATTACTCCAGCTCTTCAGTGTCACATGATCCTTCAGAGATCATTCTAATAAGCTGATTTGCTGCTCAAGAAATATGTATTATTAATAATGTTGAAAACAGTTGTGCTGCCTAATATATTTGTCATATTTTTGGGAAAATGTTAAACGTTTTTTTCACAATACTTTGATCAATAGAAAGTTTATAAGAATATAATTTATATATATATATATATATAAAAAAAATTCTAACATTTTAAAAGTCTTAACTGTCACATTTAATCACTTGAATGATTCCTTGCTAAATAAAAGTAGTTGTTTTTTTTTGGAATGGTAGTGTAAATGTTATCATATTAGAATATTGACAAAAACAATAGACCAGGATTTAGATTGTATTAAGGATAATAAATAAAAGCAACTACATCAAATTAATTTCATAATCTAAAACAGGTCTCATCTCTGGCCATTGAAGTCCACTTTCCTGCATAGTTTTGCTCCAAATCGAACACACCCAAACAAGCTTATCAAGGTCTTCAGGATTACATGAAAGATATAGGCAGGTGAGCTTTATCAGGTTTGGAACTAAGCTCTGCAGGAAAAAAGTTGAAAACCCCTGATCCAAACATTCCATAATCAATGTATATTAACACTCCTAATGATAGCTTATGTGCTGCCATCTAGTGGTCATTTGTAAACTATAACACTGGTATTTGCATTACCAAGTTATTTATGGAGATTCCCTTTTATGAAGTGGCAAAGAAACAGAGGGGGAAATGTGACATTAAAATGGTGTGAAATATCTTTTCACCTGCAGAGTGAATGAGCAGAGGAAGGTTTTTTATTCCTCGGGTCAACCTGTAGAAGTCCATGTAACCTCTCCGTCTCACAGCGCTATGTTGACGCTGGACAAATCTGTCAAATATAAAGACCATCACCCAGAGTGCAACTTTCCCCAGTAACACCACAGTCTTGGAGTCGATCCCCTGCAATGCTGCAGTGCACTCAGGAGTGTGCTCATCAGATATCCAGCAAAATAATGTGATTGCAATACACAGCGCCACATAAACCACCTGCAAAACACAAACAGAGAAATGACTCAAAAAGTACATAGCGAGTGTGTCTGCAACAGGTTTATTATTATAACTGAAAGTAACATTTCCAATCAAGTCTGGAACAACATGAAGGTGAGTAAATAACAGATTTGCCATACTTTAAGTAACTTTTCTGAGTTGGGCAACAGTGTGTGTTTTTGCAATGCTCTGTTTCTACTCACATGAAAAAACGAGAGGACACTGAATGCCCAATGAGTGGGTAATTTCTGAAACTCTCTCTTGATTACTGACTCAAGTGCATCTTGGGATACAAGTGGTCCATCAATGAGAGGGTGCTCATCGTCAGTGCTTTGTGTAAAATCTGCATTTGTGTTATTCTAGTCACCAAAACAAGAGAGACACATACAGGTTAGGTCGTGCGTTGTAATAGTCATAGCAAGCTGCTTTGCTGGCATTAATTGTTACTTTGAAGTCATGCATTTCAAAGTGTTAATGCATGAACTGTATTAGGGCCCAATAATGACTCTCTATTCCACACAAAAAAACAACAACAAAAACTGTAAAAGGCTCCTGTCACCAGCTAAACGACCTAGAGAATAGCGCCATTATCAAAACATTGGTGACACGAAGTAGCGTCATTATAAATAGAGACCAAAGAGACACTGAAAGTAGGCTTAACTTCTATAAAAAGTAAAGTGTATATTATTGTTATTATTATTCTACTACTACATAGAAACAAACAGACAACCAAAAGCAACAGCACAGAGAAACATGTGTGTTACTTAAACACATAAACCAATTACATTTTAAGCAATCTGTCATTAAGGACATTTATAAAGGAACAGCTGCATTTCAACTGCTCTCGTGACCCTGCTTTCGTAAACGTTTTTACTACAAGTAGCAGCGCCGCCGCTCCCACCACGCGCATCACGCGCTGTGCGTAGGGCACCAAGTGCTGAGGGGGCACCAAAAATAGCCTAATGAAAAACCAATCATCAAACTTCTTGTTATAATCAGACTCAGCGCGTTCTTCCTCTTCATTCCGCAGCGGCGCCGAGCAGAGACAGAGAGCACGTCAGAAACACAGGACAGGGTGTGTGTGTGTGTGTGTGTTCATGTGTGTGTTCTTCTGAGCCTCATTGGTCTGTCACTGCTCGTCAATGTCAGAATATTTGAAATGACCAATCAAATCAAAGTAGGCGGGCTTTATGTTCACAGACGCTGAGCGCGAACTCGACGCTTCAGTGTACGGTCAAGTGCGAGATAAGATGTAAGTAGCTAAACTTAACTTTATTTATTTGACAGTTTTTTTTAGGTCATAAATGTTAAACGAATGACAAAAAATAATTAGGCAAACTAATATAGTTTTGTCTAATTTCGCCATTTTTAACTGAAAATAGGCCTATGTAACATGTAGCCTAGTGTAATAGTTTAGGCTACTGTCATTGTGAGGGGACAAGAAACATGAACAAAGCCGTTTTCATCATGTTAGGCACAGGATTTATAATGAATGTGTACATATTGAGAATAAAATACAAATTGTAACCTTTAGTAAAATAAAAAAGCCAACTTTAGGGGGGGAAGAGACAGGGCAAGATAAAAACAAAGAGAAAAAGAGTGTGATGCTGATGAGGAGAGAAAAATAATCAGCTGCCCACTGACATGGTTTTAAAGCTGTTGTTATCGAATTTTTTTTTTTTTTTTTGCCTTCACAACATCTTAAAATGCACATCTGTAGTTCAGAAAAATCCAAAATTTCCCCCGAACACCCCTAACTAACCTGCCTCAAATTCGGGATCCCAGTGATTATAAAACCATGCCATTGCATGGTAATGAAACTAGTTAATAGTAAGCATTAGACCCTAATCTAAAGTGTTACTTTTTAGCTTTTTAATTTTTTTATAAATCATACCCTCATTGGGGGCTTAGCCCCCCTAAATGAAAATCCTAAATGAAAATGTTTTTTTTTTAGGGGGGGCGGGGGGGCATCATAAAGGAATTATGCTTAGGGCACCAAAATGGCTAGCAGCGGCACTGACAAGTAGTAAGAACAGCAAGAGAAACAAAATGTTTATACACACGCCATAAGCCGATGTGCGCTCGGACTCCATGCCTGATCATCACAGGCAAAGCCAAACCTCTAGATTTAAGCCAAAACCTCCGACATAAACATTTCTAAATTGGATTTCCGGGTGGCTGCGATGTAACCATTCCTACTATTACAAAGGCATGGCGTATGAATATTAATTTAGTTACGTGGCCCTCGTCCTTTACTCTTAGGTGATTGGCTTAGGTGACGTTAGGAGGCGGAACTAGAGCATGACACCGGATGTATGCAGCTGACACCGCAAGAGTCCGCCATATTGGTCCGGGCAAGACTGCTGCTTTTTATGGACAAAAAGCACAATTACCTTTACATTTCTCAACCGATTTCAACGGTTTATAAACAACGTGGAGTACGAAAAAGGTTCTGTCTCCAATTACTTAGAATCTCACTAGTCAAGCATAGATTTGTTTTTGTTTTCTTGGTTAATAATTGTGGAGACGTCCCTAATGTAATGTAATTTAATGTAGGCTACATGAAATACGCATAACGTATTTTTCATTGTGGAAATGTTTTATTTTTCTGTCTTCATCACCGGGATTTTAGCTTTCTCACTTGAATCACGTCAAAGGATGTCACAAGACAATTTCAAATAAACGTGATGATAACTGTGAAGATTTTCATGCTCTGTCCTAAAACCAGATCCGTTGAAAGAGTTTTAAACCCTAAGACTTTCAATCCTATGACATTTTAAAAAAAAACCCATTAAGTATTAAATGTTTAAAAAATATTATTATCTAAATCAAGAGTGCAATAAGCATAAAATCAATAATACAATGTCAATGTGTAACAATTATTTATGACAGTACCTTTTTACACTAATTACGATTGATCTTTAGTTGTTTTATTTCCATAACGTGAAACATTTTGACCCAAATGAAGATTTGACAAACGTTGCTGTAGCCTACTTTTTATTAGACTGATGTATAAAGAACTTGAAAACAAAGAAAAGGTAAATTTGTGAATATTTAGAGATCACAAAAAATGTATCTGATTAGTTTTCAAGGACACTAGTACTTCTTCATAGTTAAAGGGATAATTCTGTCATCATTTACTCACCCTTGAGTTGTTCCATACCTGTATGAATGTAAATGGTGGTAAATGGACTTATATAGCGCTTTCACAGACCCAATGGCCACCAAAGCGCTTTACAATTTGCCTCACATTCACCCATTCACTCACTCATTCATACAATGTATTTCTTCTGCTGAACACAAAATAATATTTTGAAGAATATGACAGAGTAACCACCAAACAGTTGATGGGCCCCATTGACTTCCATATAATGTGAAAAATATATATACTATGGAAGTCAATGGGGTCCATCAACTGTTTGGTTGAAAGAAAGAACTTCATACAGATTTGGAACAACTTGAGGGTGAGTAAATGATGACAGAATTTTCATTTTTGGGGACTATCCCTGTAAAGTTAAGTTTTGATCCTGCAGGATGTTTCTCCCCGCGACGATGCGATGCAGCGTCCACGAGTCACGACCCTAAAACTGTTAAAGGCCAACTGAAGTGCCTTGAAATGCACAGCATTTAATGTGTTGACGTAATTTCCAATGAAATAGGAAGACAGGGTTGGACATATTGAACAGCTCCTCTTTTTTAAAAAGAAAAAATCGCTGTACGATTGATTGTACCGCTGACATGTTGCAAGCTTTATTTAACATAACAACCGACAATTTTAAATGCTAATATCTTCTAAATGCGAATTTTGTAATTGTTTTGGATCACACTAGCTTATAGATAACAGTAAAGCTAACATATGCATACCAAAAGCCACAAAACTTCCATTTTGATTTCATGGGGACTTTAAGAAAACGGATGTATAAGTTTTCTTAACCGCTGGATGTCGCTGTTTGTGCAGATACGCGTGTGAATTTCAGCCGAAGAAACTTTAAAAATGGCGGAGACCTGTACATGGAAATCACGTGAAGAAACGGGAAAGGATGCGTATATTGGTAACTTTTTAATATCCGAATCATCATAGGCGTACTAAAATATATTGTTGGCGTTATTTGTTGACTCTGATTTATTAAAAATACATGTAATCTTTGTGTTTAATGAACCCACGTGGAAACGCACCATGCTCGTGTCCAAATCAAACAATGTATTATTAACGTACTCAGTTGAATAGTTTGTAGTCTAAAATAGTCATAAATCATTGCTAGATGTTTGTTGTTAAGTGTTTCCATATTTTTAAGTCACAGTCTTGTCATTGTAGTTAAATTTTCTAATGGCCTCGTGAGAAAAGCAAAACACCTGGACTTCAAACTCTTCAAACACGAAGATGGAGTCAACCCCAGAAAGAAAAACAGACGGATTGTGGTAAAACTACCTATGCAGATTGAAACCATTTTTATTTTAGGTCTTGAAGATCTGGCGTATGTGGTGTTAAGAAATATTTTGTTCCCATGTTAGGTTGCAGAATCAAACAGACTCCCCTATGTTGGGAGCAACTTTGGGCCTGGGTCATCGCAATGTAATAATCTGTGCAGGTGAGGTGATCTGTATAAAAACTGATTAGTTGAATGATAATTGGATCTCTGAATAATGGGATTGTAATGGTCGTTAACAGGTATTTTGTGGGAGTTCTGGACAAGAGCACTATGCAAATGAAGGTTCACAATGCTCAGCTGTTCAATATGCTGCCTCTTATACCAGGTAAATATGGCACATTTGTAATGTATCAAAATAGTGGCATAAAAATTTTTTCAGGGGTCTTCGTGGTCATGGAAAATTGATTAAAATGGTGGTTTTCAAGCTTCAAAGTCATTAATTATAATAATGTCTATTGATATTATTGTACAGTATAAGTTATAATATTGTATAATAGTTATGGTATTTTTAGTGAATAATCTGAAAATACATTTAGCTCCATACTGAAATATCTTATCAGCTTGAGATTGCTTCCTGTGAGTGTAATTTCTGTCAAATTAAATCTTTAATGATTGGAAAAGTCATTTATTGGTCATAAGGTTTGTAAAAAAATATTATCATGGCTCCTTTGTAATTCTTTAATGTTCAACAGTAATGTTGTTGTCTACAACAGAGATAGGAGCCATATGTCTTTTGTTAGACAGTGAAAGAGAAGTTCATTGTTGAGTGTGTGTCTTCAGGTGAATCCGCAGGAGATGACAACACAAAGCAAGCTGAGACATACAGAGAGAAGGTGAGTAACTGAATATGTGCCTTTCTTAGAAATGTATTTTTTATATTCATTTGGTTTTGTAAAATGTTTATACCATTATCAAGTCAAAAGCACTTTTACAAATTTGAATATTTATAAATGTTATGTTTTTGGGGACTAAAAACAACTAACCTTGCCTTATCATAAAATTATCTGAAATATTAGGTTGGCATTAGACAGAAGTTTCTATCATCATTGTCTTCTCTATTGTGACACATCCGAGGGAAATGGATTGTTGTTGTCCCACCCTCGCGCCAGTGCTCATGTCATCAGCTTTAAAAAAAAATGCTTTAATGTTGATTAAAAATTACAAGGACACATTCATTTAAAAAAATGAACAAAAAAATATGCACAGATAAAGATTTTATAATGAACACTGCAATTTTCCATAAAAAAAAAAGAAAAGAATTGATCATTTTGATTTCATGCTGACTTTAAGAGACTTGTTTGCCTTAACACTAAATCTTGGCAGATATCTATGATATCATTTCCTGTTTCTTTTTTACTCCTGCCAATGGTTAGACCACATGACTTTGAAACAAAAGTTTTTAACTGCATGTTTTTATTTGTCTAAGAAATTACTAAATAATATTCCAAACTACAGTCTATGGCTAAAGCTTTCTTTTGAAAAATGTCATATTTTTGCTTTTCAGCTTTTTACTTTATTATGAAATGAGGACAGTTGAATCACCCTTAGACGCTTCTCTTTGAGCCCCCCAAAAATATACAAATGTACAGTACTTCAATTAAAAAATGAAAAACATGTGCATCATTGAAGAAGTCATAAACCATATGTGTGTTTTCTCTGTCTGGGCACAGGTGGATGCTCTCATTGAAGCATTCGGGACGACTAAACAGAAGCGGGCTCTGAGCTCCAGGAGACTCAACGAGGTGGGCAACGAAATGCTTCAGCAGGCTGTGGCACTGGCTGCCAGCAACGTCATAGATCGGAAAGGAGTGGAAGGTAAGTAGCAGTATGGGTTTTCACAATTCATGACTAAACTGTGCTTTGAAAAGGATTAATAGCAATGGCTCTTCAATTCTGTCTCTTAAGCTCTGCGTAATGAAGTGAATGAAAGTGAGGCAAAGACAGAGACCCTCCTCTTCCTCCCCCCGTGCAACACTGCAGCAGAAAAACCAGAAGATGTATACCCCTTTGACCAATGTATCCTTTTTAGTTCTATATATGTTTCTCCACGTCATTTTTTTCTGTGTCAAGATCCCTAACTTTGTTCTAGTGTTGTCTCCAATTGAGTTTGATGCGCTGGAGGATGTTGGAATGAAGATGGCAGCGCTGACCCCTGAAGACTTGCAGAAGATGAGAGATGAGCTTGGGTATGGAGAACATCATGACGTTGATGACCAGTTTTTTTTTTTATGATAACACACGCATACCAATTAAAAGTTTTGAAAGAATTCTCTTATAACCACCAAGGCTGGATTTATTTGTAAAATAGTAGAGTTGTAAAACATAAAAATTATTACTATTTTAAAGGCACAATATGTTAGCCTGACTTCGTCATACTCATATTCTAGTCAGAATGTGAGTCTGATACTGCTCCATAGGGCTTTGATTATGAGGCGTGTCTTAACCGAACCAGGAAAAAAAAAAACCTCTGCACTCAATTGGATAGACCTACAACCAATCAGAGCAACGCAGTAAGTGATTTTTTATGAGCTACGCAAATTGTCAACAGAACTCGACTACACGCACGCTGGAAGAAGTAGTAAAATAATGAGTGTTGCTTCTTTTACTTTTACTGGTTTCTCCTTTGGTTTTCCATGAGTGCGACCAAAGGAGAAACCACCACGACCACAGGGTTTTCATTGCGTCCCATCTTCTTAGCGACCATCGGAGCCAGCTGATAAAATAAACTTTTGCCGAATCCCGTAGGAAGGACGGCAAACACATCTTTCCGATCGACAAATGCCTTGATTGCAGTTCTCTGTTCGTCTTTTAAAATGAATGCGCTGTCGATTTCTTTTACAACAGACGCAATAGCGGAATCTATGTATCTCAATTCTCCAGCTGCAGTCATCTTTGAGGGAAACCAGTTCAACCCAAGCACTCTTTGATAACGTGATGATTACGTAACTGCAGATCATCTGTCCATCATCGTATAAAGCCCGCCCTGGCAATTTGATTGGCCCGACTAATTCTGAACCGATCATAATTACTCCTCAATGGATCGAGTCCAGACCGAACTTCCCGACCAATATGTAAGATTTTGGACTAAAACATGCAAAAACCATTAGAACAATGTTATACATTTTGTTGACTTGTGTACTTGCATTGTCCCAAATGTTTCCAATAATGTTTAAATCCAGAAAAATCAGCCATTTTAACCAGTGTAACAGCCTGTGTTATTGCGTCGCCGGTCAAAGACGGCATATCCGCCTTACCTTCTATTTCCAAAGGTTGTAAAAATCTGCCACTTTTGATCAATTTAATGCATCCTTGCTGGATAAAAGTATTAATTTCTTCAAAGAAATAACTGACCCCAAGCTGAATTTTTAATAATCTTGAAATATCAGAGAATAAAATTGTGATTCCAGCATGACACAAGTTTTGAAAATAATTTTACTCCAAAAATGGCTGGAAAAGTTGTTGGTTTTGGCTATGTTTTAGCTCCAGATTAATTATAGAAATGATTGTTTTTATTCATAAAAATTTGTTCTCTAGTCCACAGACTGTTCTTAGACATCTTGAATCACTTCCCACTGAGGACGCAGCTCGTGACAGACAGTCTCGTTGTGCCTGGTACCTGTCCTTCCTCATCAAAGTCTCACTACAGAAACGTAGTGTATCCTTCAAATGTGAGTGTTAAAGAAATAAAGTTAAATTAAGTTTGTCTGTGCCAGTAGATCATATGATAATAATGTATTGATTTCAAGATTACTGGTTGTACGGTTGTTGTCAGAATTATTGGCACCCCTGGTAAATATGATCAAAGATGGCTGTGAAAATAAATCTGCCTTGTTCATCTTTTTGTCAAAATTTGCAAAAATCTAACCTTTCATTGTAGTAAAAGAATTGAAAGTTGGGGGTAAATCGCATTATGAAATGAATGCTTTTCTCCAAAACATGTTGGCCATAATTATTGGCACCCCTTTATTAAATACTATTTGCAACCTCTTTTTGCCAAGGTAACTGCTGTGAGTTTTCTCCGATAATGCATGATGAGTTTGAAGAACAACTGACGAGATCAGAGACCATTCCTCCATACAGAATCTCTCCAGATTCCCAGCTCCATGTTGGTGATTCTTCTCTTCAGTTCACCTCACTCTTTTTCTATAGGGTTCAGGTCAGGGAACTGGGATGGTAATGGCAGAAGCTTCGTTTCGTGCTCAGTGACACGTTTGTGCTGATTTTGATGTTTGTTTTGGATCGTTTTCCTGATGGAATGCAACCACGGCCCATTATAAGATTTCTAGCAGAAGCGGTTGGTTTTTTTTTTTTTTTATCTGCTGGTATTTGCTAGAATCCATGATTCCATGATACCATGTATCTGATACTATGTGCAGAACCCTCTAGCAAAAAAATACTTTTTTATCCCTGTTTGCACCAAACCCATCTGGTGGGTTTGCTGCCAAAAAGCTTTTTTTTTTAAAAATTTTTATCTGACCATAGAATCCGGTCCCTTTAGAAATTTCAGTCGTGTCTGACACCTGAATATGCTTGAGTTTGTTTCTGGATGAGCGAGGAGCATTTTTCTTGAAACCCTCCCAAACAACATGTGATGATGTAGGTACTGTTAGATATTTTGTTAGATATTTTGACCCCAAGACACAGCTAATCTCTGCAATTCTCCATCTGTGATCCTTGAAGAGTCTTTGGCCACTCTAACTTTTCTCCTCAATGTGAATTGAGACGATATAGACACGCGTCCTCTTCCTGGCAGATTCGTAATATCTCTAGTTGATTGGAACTTTGTAATTATTGCCCTGATGGTGAAAATTGGGGATTTCCAATGCTTTAGTTATTTTCTTACAGCCACTTTCTATTTTGTGAAGCTCAACAATCTTTTGCTGCACATCAGAACAATTTTCTTTGGTTTTACTCATTGTGATGGATGATTAAAGGTGAACTAAGTAACTTTTTTACCTTAACCGAACAGCTTTGGAGTCATTGTAATGTTTATATTACTGATTTCGTGTTGAATGGTGGTCGTCTCGCACCCCCCTGGTGCCTGTGAGCCGCAAAACCACCCTTGCAACTTTGGGCCGCCGAGCCGCCGGCCTGAGTGTTAGGAAGTATCGTGTGATATCAGGTCTCGCGAGGTAACAAATTGCTTTACGGCAAAAAACAGATCTGATAAAATTCTGATAAAATGAGCATCTAACAGAAATAACCCGGCGCCGTATACATGTAGTGTTGGGCGCGCGCAGCTCTTAAAGGGGCCATACCTTATTTCCACTCGTTACAGCATCCATCCTACTGAACAGGTACCGGTGTACAGGGGGAGGGGATCCGGCCCTGAGTGCGAGCCATCTCTGCGTGAGTGCTATTCACGACAGTACAAGTACTCCACAGCGACTCTAGGGGTCGCTGTTTGACAAAAACAGAATTCCTACTTAGTGCTGCTTTAAGGGAATTTGGCCTTTGTGTTTCCTATATAGTGAAACAAGTCATAACTAGACGATTTCATGTTCCTAGTCACCCTGGTGTGCTAAAAACTGTAAATATTAATGGGAATATACTTCAGAGACATTAACTTCAGCTATGTGTTCATCACCTCATTACTTCATAATGTGACCCCCCCCCCCCACACACACACACACACACTTTTAATTATTTTACTTCAATGGTTAGTTTTCTTTTGTAATTTGTTTTTTTTTTTAGATCAAAAGGATAAACAATGCAGATTTTTTTTACAGCCATCTTAGATCATATTTACCAGGGGTGCCAATAAATCTGACCACAACTGTATATGTCCATCTTCTTTCTTTTTTTCACCTTTAAATAACCTTATAATTTTCACTCTTTTGCAAGTTGGTACTGAGAATGGATGTCCCAAAATCATCAACAACAAAGTGCTGAAGAATTTCACAGTGGAGAGTTTCCACAACGGCCGGTGTGTGTGTATCCTAACTAGGCACAGTCCTGCAGCCTGTTCTGACTTCATTTTTGCCTTTATTTATTCAAAACCTATGAAATTTCAGACAATGGCCATTAAGTTATGTTTCTCTCTACAGACTCAGGAACACAGTGTCGACGTCCATGCGTTTGAAACTGGTTTCTCACTGTTTGGCTTTACTGTTGCACATGGGTTATCAGACGGCTAACCTCACACTCTTACACAGAGACATGGACATCAGCGATAACAAGTCAGTCAAACTTATTATTCTACACATTAACCCTGTAAAGCCTGACATGAAATCATTCTCAGATTTTTTTTTTTTAAGTGGAATAGTTTATTGAACCTTAAGACAAAAGTTTACATGTTCTTTTTTTATTTTTGAGTATCATGTTTGATACTTCAAGCTTTTATGGCTCATATAGTATGATATACTGTAGGAGAATATATCCAGAGGCTCAAACTGAACAACAATATACAATTTGGTGCACTTGCTGATATTTATATGTGCAAAAACTTAGATATAATTCTAATAATGTAAATCTTCATCGCATTATAGCAGACTACAAATATCAGTTGTCAATCTATATCTAACAGTAATATGTCTTAGGATGATATTTAAATGCTTAGTTTTGTGGTCAAATCTCTGTAGTTTTTTTGTGACAGTACAATGCAATACAACGATGATTGAGTGACAAACTTTACTCAATAGCCAGATGCATCATATTTGAAACATTTTAAATGGTTAGTTTACCCAAAAATGAAAATTCTGTCATTAATTACTCACCCTCATGTCGTTCCAAACCTGTAAGACTTTCGTTCATCTTCGGAACACAAATAGGCCATGAGACGGGACCCCAAATTTGGGCTACCGGTACCATTTTGAGGGATTCAATTTCTCTAGTGTTGGAAAATGTGTGATAGGATCCGATCCATGGTAGCTTTCATTAGAAATCAACACTTATATCATCCTACCGCAAGGGAAGGTGTTCAGTGACTACAAGAGAGAAAAATTTATCCTTTTATAATTTAAAAAATGTATAAAAATTTTATAACTTTTTTTATTATAAAAATTTATCAAACTTTATACATTTTTTGTAAAATTTATTTAAAGATAAATTAATTTTTCTTTTTTCTTGACATATGTTTGAAAATCGTCCTCCGTAACCAAAAACTACCTTGAATCTAATGCTATCACACATTTTTCAAATACAGGGTCATATACCTACACAAAAATCACCATGCGGTTTAATCCCTCAAAATGGTACCAATCAACCCTCTGTCTCACGGCCTAAAATGAAGATTTTTTTTTTTTAATGAAATCTGAGCAATTTCTGTTGATAGTCTACACAACTACCACTTTGACGTTTCAAATTCATAAAGAGATCGTAAAACTAATCCACATGAATTGAGCGGTTTAGTCCAAATTTTCTGAAGAGAGCCGACCGCTTTATATGATGAAACGATTTAATTTGGCGTAACTCGTGAGAATGAACCTCATTGGTTTTTCGCGCATCAAGCGATCATGCTTGAGCTTCCGTTTACCACAACTGATGTGTGAGTTGATATGAATGTTTACATGTGAATAAAAGCCTAAATTCAATCTGTTGTTCATATAAAGCAATCGTGTCCTTTCAGAAAATTTGGACTAAACCGCTCAATTCACATGGATTAGTTTTATGATCTCTTTATTAACTTTTTGAAGTGTCAAAGTGGTAGTTGCATATCTGTCAATGGAGGGACAGAAATCGCTCATATTTCATTAAAAAGATCTTAACTTGTGTTCCGAAGATGAATAAAAGTCATACAGGTTTGGAATGACATGAGAGGGAGTAATTAATGACAGATTTTTTTTTTTTGGGTGAACTAACCCTTTAAGATGAATTTTCTAAAATTATGTAATGCATTATGTATTGATAATCAAGTAAACCTGTTACTTCAGTCCAGTGAGTGTTATTCTTATGTTTACTTTATAAAAACCATGAAAGATTGAACTGCAAAAAGACAAGTGTACCATGTACACTTTTTTTTTTTGTACCCAATTTTTTTTACCAAAAGGCCTTTTACATGCTAATAGGGCTGGGCGATATGGAGCAAAAAATATATCTCGATATATTTTGCTATATCTCGATATTCGATATATATCTCGATATCTTTACAGGAAAATGGATGTGAATACAACTCAAAATATAGGCCTACAATCAATAGAAAATTAATTTTCCATAACAGAATGTAACCAAATGAGAAATTAAACACAGGGCCTGAATTTCGTCATCGTTATTAATCACGTGATTCATATACAGAAACTGAATAAAGTAATCAAATGGAAAATAACACTGAGTAGTATTTTAGTCCTGAATAAATGAAATACATAGGTTATTAATCCTGATTCCTTTAACTTAAAGCTATCTTTTGTTGTATTGACAACAAAATGAATGACACACATATGGCTGCCGTCACTTTAAGAGGTAGTGCACGGATCCTGTGTTCATTATACTGGCATGCGTTTTATGCTTATTAAAGACAAAACCGACTATGTTTAGAGTATACTCACGACGACCGAAATTGACAATTTTGCGTGTTAAAGCAATATAATCCGCGAAAAATAACTTTTGTTACTGGCCAGCTGTTCTTAAGGCGGATTTTCTATGAATGTGCATAGAAAATAATCTCTCAGAGAGCGCGCGAGTACTGATTAGTTTAAAATCGCTTGAATGTTTAAACTGTTAAGACTTAAAAAGACGTGCAAATGGTAAACTTCAGTCACGATGCACTGCTGGCCCGATTGTGCGAGTGAATATCCATCATGTCCCGACTCCTAAACGCGAGTGTGTTTTATCGCCGCAGCTCTTGATGCTTGCCTTGCACAACACATTATGAGAGACGAGAAAGAAGCGGCACCGCTGAACACTCACGCTGTTTGTGAAATTGCGTCTGGCAGATAGTTGTTAAAAGAATGATTTGATTTTATAATCTGTGTGGATTACGATTGCGGGAATTTCCCGCATTATAAATGGGAGACCTGCGGGAATGATTATAATTATGCGCAATACCCGCGCCGAAATTCGAGCCCTGCAATAGTTTAAAACAAGACGTTTGTAGTAGCCTTCTGATTACTGGAGTCCATTAATCGAACTTCCATGCCTCTTATATAGTAATTATATATTGTTGTATGTAGGCTACCAATTTACTAATGCAATTAATGCTCACAGAGCCTCACACTCGGTTTCTCTCGTGCTCTGTCGCTCGCGCGCAGACACACTCGGAGTTCTGTAGCCTCCGGGCTGGTTGCGGATGAGACAATTGTTGAATGAGACAACACGCGAGGTGAGGGGGAACAAAAGCAAGGAGGCGGGGGCGAGCACAGCACAGAGAAGGCAAACAAGCAAAGTGGCGAAATCAGGATTAAATATAAACAATATATCGATAATCACTCACCGGCCACTTTATTAGGTACCCCATGCTAGTAACGGGTTGGACCCCCTTTTGCCTTCAGAACTGCCTCAATTCTTCGTGGCATAGATTTAACAAGGTGCTGGAAGCATTCCTCAGGGAGTTTGGTCCATATTGACATGATGGCATCACACAGTTGCCGCAGATTTGTCGGCTGCACATCCATGATGCGAATCTCCCGTTCCACCACATCCCAAAGATGCTCTATTGGGTTGAGATCTGGTGACTGTGGAGGCCATTTTAGTACAGTGAACTCATTGTCATGTTCAAGAAACCAATTTGAAATGATTAGAGCTTTGTGACATGGTGGAAGTAGCCATCAGAGGATGGGTACATGGTGGCCATAAAGGGATGGAGATGGTCAGAAACAATGCTCAGGTAGGCCGTGGCATTTAAACGATGCCCAATTGGCACTAAGGGGCCTAAAGTGTGCCAGGAAAACATCCCCCACACCATTACACCACCACCACCAGCCTGCACAGTGGTAACAAGGCATGATGGTTCCATGTTCTCATTCTGTTTACGCCAAATTCTGACTCTAACATCTGAATGTCTCAACAGAAATCGAGACTCATCAGACCAGGCAACATTTTTCCAGTCTTCAACTGTTCAATTTTGGTGAGCTCTTGCAAATTGTAGCCTCTTTTTCCTATTTGAAGTGGAGATGAGTGGTACCCGGTGGAGTCTTCTGCTGTTGTAGCCCATCCGCCTCAAGGTTGTGCGTGTTGTGGCTTCACAAATGCTTTGCTGCATACCTCGGCTGTAACGAGTGGTTATTTCAGTCACTGTTGCCCTTCTATCAGCTCGAACCAGTCTGGCCATTCTCCTCTGACCTCTGGCATCAACAAGGCATTTCCCCCCACAGAACTGCCGCTCACTGGATGTTTTTTCTTTTTCGGACCATTCTCTGTAAACCCTAGAGATGGTTGTGCGTGAAAATCCCAGTAGATTAGCAGTTTCTGAAATACTCAGACCAGCCCTTCTGGCACCAACAATCATGCCACGTTCAAAGTCACTCAAATCACCTTTCTTCCCCATACTGATGCTCGGTTTGAACTGCAGGAGATTGTCTTGACCATGTCTACATGCCTAAATGCACTGAGTTGCCGCCATGTGATTGGCTGCTTAGAAATTAAGTGTTAACGAGCAGTTGGACAGGTGTACCTAATAAAGTGGCCGGTGAGTGTATACGATATGTCAAAATCCATATCGTGTTTAAAAAATATCTCGATATATTTTAAATATCGAGATATCGCCCACCCCTACATGCTAAAAAAAGTATAAACTATCCAATCAGACGATAGAAGGCATGTTGTAGATTGTGTACAATATTTTTTTTGGCAAAGTTTTGATCAGACAGAGCCCCTAAAGGGACATGAAGGAAAAAAATATATAGCTGCAAGCAGCGATAATTGGCCCAAGCCGCGGCGCCACCGCCACCCCGGTGGCTTTAGGGCAACTGTGCACGACGGGCAATATGCATTTAAACTGGGTAAATGTAAAATGATTGTCAAGCTATGAGGCTCTTCCTGTTTCTCTTTTTGTCATTACTTTAATCTCTTGCCATGGCAACACAGTTTAAGATATCCGATATCCATTCACAATTGAACATCTTCTTAATGGCTTGCTACCATGTTCAGAAAGGTAAGTGTGAATCGGATGAATCCCCTAGGAGGAGTAGTTAAAAATTCAGAGGCTGATTATTCAAAAACTGCACATTCAAACCAAAATATCTGACTTCATGTTGGTCGGAGCTAAATTAGAAAGTTGTCCAGCTTGGTGAGAACAATATATGTACCGAGTTTGGTGCCTGTAGGTAAAACTAACCCCCAACTTTAGTCAAAAGGCGGCGCTACAGAGCCCCTCCTCCACGCCCATTTCTAAGGCTTTGCCCATGTCTTCTGGCTTACTGATGTGTATGTCAAGTTTCAAAAACACCCAAAAAGAATAGTTTTTTGTGTTGGCATGACAACAGTATTCTAGATATCAAGAATCCTTTCACAGGTGTACATCTGCTGTGTTTTGAAATTATTCTGATGAAGATTGAAGCAAATCGGCAAAAATAAGAGGGCGATTTTACAGCATTCTGTTGGCGCTATAACTTTGACTCACATTAGTCACGGCCAAACCGTTCGAGACATCAAAAATCTGCTTGCAATTTAGCATCCTCAATGTCTGGACTTCATGCCGAGTTGCCGACTGCGATCGGATGAATCCCCTAAGAGGAGTATATCAAATTCCAGTGCATGCTTTTTTCAAACAACTCATAATAGTCAACTTCCTGTTGGGCTGGCATATAACTAGAGTGCGAATGTTGTTCGGCCCGATGAGATCTATAACTGTATGAAGTTTGGTTACTATATGTGAAAAGCAATACGCCACAGAGCCCCCCCATGACAACCTGATGGCAGACGATTCCAACGTGTGTGCAAAGGTTTAGAGTTTTTGAGCATGTTAAGGGCCCGAAAGGTTGAAAAAATATTTTGCACTTTGCCCCTTAGGGCTTGGGCCCTAAATATGATTTTTTTTTTTTTTATGAAAATTATTTGTCAATACATTCTCTAGCGAATGTTTAGCATTCCCCTGAGAAACTTTGCATTTGCTCTCAAAATGGTTGAGTTCGCTTGCAAAGAACAAAAGTTTTGCAAGTGAATGCGAGGTTTCTCGGCGGAACGCAAAAGTTTTGCGAGCAAAACTCAAATATATTAAAATATTTTTTTTTTCCATCACCATGTTTCTTTTAGGGGCTCCGCATGATCATGTTGATAATTTAGAAGCCTTATCTAGGCTCAAACTAGATATGCACAATTTATTTTTTCTTTCTTGTGATGGTCTAAGACATTGGTTCTCAACCAGAGGTACAGGGCTCATTAGGGGTCCTAGGCAAACTTCCAGGGTAGCATAAAATTTATTTAATTTCAGGTATTCAGTCTTAAGTAATCTTATGTTAAAAAACAAAGTTAAAAAAAATGTTGAGAACCACTATAATCTTTATTTTGACATGGTTTCAAATGTTTGTTTGCAGAATGTTGGAGTTGGCCAAGGCCATGGGACTGACCCTGTCCCGTCAGACTGTCTCAAATAGAGAAGGGATACAGGATGAGCACAGGATGGCCTCTCTGGTGCTTCCACTGGTGCATTATGATCGACGGGTGGAACGCAAGAAACGCAAGAGGATGAACTGAGCCGTGGACAGTAGTGCGTTTCTAAGCTGTGTAGAAACCGGCTATAACTGCATTTCATTTAGCAGTTTCACAAATGTGCTCAATTTAGTGTTCTTGTAAGATTGAATTGGAAAATAAAAGACACTTCTGTAAATGGAAATGGGAATTACCCGTGTTCTGATTGGTTTTACAACAATCTGATGCAAAATCGGTCCATATTGAGTTTAATTTGTGTATACTTGAGATGACTGTAATTACACCTGTGTTGATTGACTGACTGTTAATGTCTAGCTTGCGAGCACAAGGATTGCTTTTCCTGTGGAAAATGTCTTGGGGGTTTTTGGAATCAAATCCATATCTATGCAGAATGCAACTAAAGAAAACTACGGAAAATAGTCAGTTTTCAATGATAGCGATTATATTTATACTGCACAATAAGTATAAAAACCATACTGTAAAAATAGGCACATTTTAGTAGATGCATATATTGCACTTTACAAATCAAACCAGCAGTTGGTATGAAAACATTACTAAAATAATAACAGCCTGCTGTAAATCTAACATAAGATGGCTACCTTTCGATAAATAAGGTCTAGTGTTCTGGAAGAAAATCCCATCACAAAATCCTTATTTTAATTATGGGCTATGTTCAAAATGGCATACTTCCATACTATTCCTGTATAGCATGTATACTGTACACAGTGTGCAAAGATTTGGGATACCTAACCATCTACCACGTTTTAAAGCAATGCAAAGGCCATGGAGTAAACTTTCATTTCCAGTATAATGAATAAACTGAAATTACTGTTAAAACACTGTCATTTGATCAGACTGCCAAAGGTTAAGACTTTTTTTACCTCTTAATTCATTTTTAAATGGCAAGTTGACAACTGTATGCCACTCACAAGCAATGAGGTCATATGATGTTTACTTGGATTCAGGATAAAATCTACTGTTTTATGTACAGTATATGCTGCACAGCTTTCAATACATAGTAAGCTAGGATTCCATTCCGAACAAAGCCATGGTCTCTTAAAAAAAACAACCCAGTTTCAAAAGCCCTTTGATAGATAATCCATTCAAAAATGAAAATTCTGTCATCATTTGCTCACAGGTTTGGAACAACATGATGAGTATGACATTCAGCTACAGAACAACAAATATTTTAAATAATGTTGGTAATTAAACAGTTTTGGTTTCTATTGACTTCCATAGTATTTCTTGTCTATAGTATGGAGATCATTGGGAACAAAACGGTTTTCTCACCAACATTATTCAAAATATCTTCTTTAGTGTTAGTTTTCATTTTTGGGTGGACTGTCCCTTTAAATTACAATTCATCATTAGTCTCTTTTTATTCTCATACCTATTAAGGTTTCTGACATCACAACGTCTCAAAAGGGTTTTCATACGATTCTACTATTTAGCTGGAGCGACATGATAATCTTGCTTACAGTCTTCAAAATAGCAAAACAGCTTTCATAGCAGTTTTTGCATATCCCAGTATTTAGTACAATTCTTCATTGCTATTCATTTCAAAATAAATGATTCATTGAGAGGCATATTGATTCAGTGCCTGTGAAATCACATTCAAGATCTTTAAATTGTCTTTCTTCTGATAAGTTCTTACAAATTCTCCAAGGGTTGCCAGGTCATTCGAGAACTAATCCCTTCAGTAATGTGCACAGGTGCATAAAACTAGAGGGTTTTAATAGGAAAGTTAAATATTGCCAGTTTGCCACTTGTTTGGCAGCAGTACTCAGTGGTGCATATTTGTTTTTGTCCATTAAAGAATCTCAGCAGAAGCCAGCAGGACTACAATTCCCAAGGTGCACTAAAATTGTTTATCTTCTATTTTCAGCACTGGTTCTGGTCTTTTGGGAAGAGAGAGGGAAAGTCACGTGACATGTCTCTCTCTTCTACTTCTTATGTCTCATTCTCCCTCCTGACTTTGTGTGAATGGCTGAAATGATAACCACAGGCTATAGGTTCACTGGACAATGAAATTCATGTGCCTTACTGAATCATATAGGATTTCTTTTTAAATAAAAAAAATTGCTATCTTGATTTGCTTCCAACAATTCTTAGTGTTGTTTCTGAAAAACAAAAAAACAAGCTTTCCGGCACAAATGTATTCTGTATTGGACGGGGCGGCAGGTTTCAGCTGGTTTGCTAGCCAAACAGAATTAAGAAACAGGATAAAATACAAACTCCAGTAAGTGTTCCAGTAAGATGCTCATGAACACTGATCCCAGACCAGCTTCACTTCCATTTCGAGAGAGTGAAAAACAAAACAAAAAAGGTCTTAAAGGGATAGTTCGCCCAAAAATGAAAATTCTGTTATTAATTACTCACCCTCATGTCCTTCCAAACACGTGACTTTCGTTGATCTTCGGAACACAAATGAAGATCTTTTTAATGAAATCTGAGAGCTTTCTTTCCATTCATTGACAGTCTACACAACTACCACTTTCAAGCCCCAAAAAGGTAGTAAAGGCATCATTAAAGTAATCCATGTGACACTCTAGTGGTTTAATTAATCTCCAACACGTGGCCACGTAACAATGTCTGCTCTCGCATCAACATCACGCATGCATTGTGGTGCATTTGTGAACGTCTGTTGGAGATTAATGATTTGTAAATAAAGTTTCATATGCATAAAATTGAAGTTAAACCACTGGAGTCACATGGGTTACTTTAATGATGCCATTACTACCTTTCTGGGGCTTGAAAGGGGTGGTTGTGTAGACTGTCAATGGAGGGACAGAAAGCTCTCAGATTTCATCAAAAAGATCTTCATTTGTGTTCCGAAGATCAACGAAAGTCTTACGGGTTTGGAACGACATTTGGGTGAGTAATTGATGACAGAATTTTAATTTTTGGGTGAATCTTTAATCCATCATAGTTTGATTCCTGGACTACTAAACAAGATACCATTGGTTAATCATATTAAAAAGTGCTTTTAGATCATTTGGATGTCAAAGTGGTTGAGGCTTAATCCAATTGTCCATCATCCAACCCAGAATGTTGAAGCAGTGCCTTGACCTCCTCTATGTTCTTCATGTTGAGGGGAAAATGTTTATGAATTTCCATCTGATCCATCGTTGAGCTATAAAGCCGGGAATGATGTACCTCATAAAATTGAGCAAAAGATGCTGCCGTTGTTATGGCAACCGCTTTCTACAGAGGCAGTGATTCTGTTTGTCATAGTGATGGCAAGGTGAGCAGGGAGTGTGGCAGGGGTGACACTAGAGGGGTTAGTATTATGGGGACGAGGAGGTGGATTTTCCAGGGCCCAAAGAGCTTGCGATCTACAACAGAAAGAGAAGTAGAGTTCAAATATAGTATGCCATATATTATTAGTGATGCACTGAATTTCAAGCAACCAATTAATTCCTTTTTGGCTTTGGCTGAGACAGAGGGACGAAATCATTGACCAAAATGGTGACATTTAATTGACGCTTCTCCGATGGCGCGTTTGACCGTGTCAGTGTCTTATTTCATGCACACAATGTGGATAAGCTACAACAGATAAACATGTAGACACAATAGGGCTGGGTTGTCTTCATTTCGATGAACCAAGATATTTTAGTCTATGCTATTTTCAGTTGATGCGTGAACAAAACAACTCTCTTTAAAGGGTTAGTTAGTTCACCCAAAAATCACTCACCCTCATGTCGTTCTAAACCCCTAAGACTTTCGTTCATCTTCAAACCAAATGAAGATATTTTTAACAAAATCTGAGCCAGTTCTGTACTCTCCATTGGCAACTACGCAACTACCACTTTGACGCTTCAAAAAATTCATTAAGAGATTAGAAGACTAATCCATATGAATTGAGCGGTTTAGTCCAAATTTTCTGAAGTGACCTGATCGCTTTATATCAGGGGTGGGGAACGTTGATCCTGGAGGGCCACTGTCCTGCAGAGTTTAGCTCCAACCCTAATCAAACACACCTGAAGCTAATCAAGGTCTTCAGGATTACTAAAGTTACAGGCAGCTGAATGTTTTTTTCAGGGTTGGAGCTAAACTCTGCAGGACAGTGGCCCTCCAGGATCAACGTTCCCCACCCCTGCTTTATATGATGAACAGACTAAATGTAGGCATTATTCACATATAAACATTGATCAGCGAACATAAACAGAAGCTCAACCGAACCTGCTTGACATGCAAGAACAAACCTCATTGGTTCTTGCGGAAGCTCAAATGTGCTGCGTAACTCACGAGAATGAACCTCATTGATTTTTCGCATGTCAAGTGAACATGCTTGAGCTTCCGTTTATCATAACTAATGTGTGTGTTGATGAATGTTTATATGTGAATAAAAGCCTAAATTCAAATTTGGACTAAACCGCTTAATTAATATGGATTAGTTTCGCTTTATCTCTTTATGAACTTTTTTAAGTGCCAAAGTGGTAGTTGTGTAGCTGTCAATGAAGGGACAGAAGTCTCTCTAATTTTATTAAAAATAACTTCATTTGTGTTCCGAAGATGAATGAAAGTCTTACGGGTTTGGAACAACATGAGGGTGAGTAATTGATGAATTGAACAGAATTTTCATTTTTGGGTGAACTAACTGAATTGGGTGAATTGAACCGATAATCTCTTCCTCTTTACTACTAGTTTTTATTTGAAGGTGATTATCAAATAAATTTGATTAATTAACTGATTATGAAATAAACTTTATTTTCAGTTTCAGCTTAATTACTTTCCGTTTCTTTGTTTTGTTCAATCATTTTTGGAGCATCACTATATATTATGATATACACTCACCTAAAGGATTATTAGGAACACCATACTAATACTGTGTTTGACCCCCTTTCGCCTTCAAAACTGCCTTAATTCTTCGTGGCATTGATTCAACAAGGTGCTGAAAGCATTCTTTAGAAATGTTGGCCCATATTGATAGGATAGCATCTTGCAGTTGATGGAGATTTGTGGGATGCACATCCAGGGCACGAAGCTCCCGTTCCACCACATCCCAAAGATGCTCTATTGGGTTGAGATCTGGTGACTGTGGGGGCCATTTTAGTACAGTGAACTGCCATGTTCAAGAAACCAATTTGAAATGATTCGAGCTTTGTGACATGGTGCATTACCCTGCTGGAAGTAGCCATCAGAGGATGGGGACATGGTGGCCATAAAGGGATGGAAATGGTGAGAAACAATGCTCAGGTAGGCCGTGGCATTTAAACGATGCCCAATTGGCACTAAGGGGCCTAAAGTGTGCCAAGAAAACATCCCCCACACCATTACACCACCACCACCAGCCTGCACAGTGGTAACAAGGCATGATGGATCCATGTTCTCATTCTGTTTACGCCAAATTCTGACTCTACCATCTGAATGTTTCAACAGAAATCGAGATTCATCAGACCAGGCAACATTTTTCCAGTCTTCAACTGTCCAATTTTGGTGAGCTCTTGCAAATTGTAGCCTCTTTTTCCTATTTGTAGTGGAGATGAGTGGTACCCGGTGGGGTCTTCTGCTGTTGTAGCCCATCCGCCTCAAGGTTGTGCGTGTTGTGGCTTCACAAATGCTTTACTGCATACCTCGGTTGTAACGAGTGGTTATTTCAGTCAAAGTTGCTCTTCTATCAGCTTGAATCAGTCGGCCCATTCTCCTCTGACCTCTAGCATCAACAAGGCATTTTCGCCCACAGGACTGCCGCATACTGGATGTTTTTCCCTTTTCACACCATTCTTTGTAAACCCTAGAAATGGTTGTGCGTGAAAATCCCAGTAACTGAGCAGATTGTGAAAGACCGGCCCGTCTGGCACCAACAACCATGCCACGCTCAAAATTGCTTAAATCACCTTTCTTTCCCATTCTGACGTTCAGTTTGGAGTTCAGGAGATTGTCTTGACCAGGACCACACCCCTAAATGCATTGAAGCAACTGCCATGTGATTGGTTGATTAGATAATTGCATTAATGAGAAATTGAACAGGTGCTCCTAATAATCCTTTAGGTGAGTGTATATTGTAGACATGTGAAACTTGGCTTTTACTTCTTATAGACTACATTTATAGAGTTTTGAGTCGGTTACGTGTGTGTTCTACCTTGGTCTGAGCAGAGAGTTGTTAAGTACAACACACTCCATGTTCTGTGTGTTTGTCCGTATGGGGGTTTTAGTACTCGTAGGGTGGCCCTGATAAACCAGGTTTTCCTGAACCACACCTCGGACCCGCTCCTTTACGGAAATCCCATAACCCCGCAACGCCTGAACGCGATTCCGCAAGACCTGCAGAACAGATATCAAATGTCAGCATCTGATAGCAGGAGCCTTTTCAGGACTGCAGATCAAACAGTACATGGGCAGTGTCAGAAACCTAAGAATTTGCTACACAGCCAATGCTTTTGTACGAATGTAGGCTTTAGTAATAACCATATAAATATTTAATGATTTAATAATTTCTCATTAAAACAAAAAGTTTATAAAAATGAAGAAGAAGAAAAATGCACGTTTATCAACAAATTTCCCCCCTTCAACTGCTCCATCCGACACAATGTTCTTTCAACTAACCACCAATTTGTGCGCTCAGGATTGTGTGATATAATTGTCAGGAAGAGACACAGATGATGACTTTAAAAAATAATTATATAATTTTTATAAAAGTATATATCTTTTAATTAATTACATTTTTTAAAAGTTAGAATTTTTGGAGAAATAGCAAGAACTTTTAAAGGTTAATTATGATTTAAATAACAACAACAATACATGTATTAATATTATTGATATTAATAAATATTTATAATAATAATAATAATAATACTAACATAATTATTAAGACTACAATAAAGTGTATATGCTAAAAACATGGCGTCATTATTATTATTTTAATATAAAAAGTTATATCCACATTTTTTATTGCAGTCTAATAATTATTTTAGTTTTATTATTGTCAAAAAGTAGACATACAACAATTAAAAACCAGTTCTGAAAATAGTTGTTTTTTGTGGATAATTATGCAAAAATTATCAGTATCAATATTGGCCATTAAAAAAACAGTATCTGTTGTTTGGTTGTGACACAAAAACACCATCTACCTCTGTATATTGGTTTCAGACACAGCCTCTGTATGCTTTTACTTTCTCAACCCTGTGACACAGAGATTGAAGCAAACTCACTTTAACATCTGCATTGTCCATCACTCGTATTCCAACAGCATTATTTCCGACCACATCATTTTCCACAATGAGCCCATCGCCTCGGAAGCAGACACCATGACATCCATTGCCATAAACCCCATTGCCGCGCAGCTCTACTCGACACTCTCTGTCCACGGCCACTCCCGTCCAGCCATTACAGAGGACACAGTTTCCAACTAAACGTGTCAGCTGAGCGCTCTGAATGATAGACAAGCCGGCTCTTCTGTTATTGTTCACCATGTTGGACACCACGTTCAGAGGCTCACTGCTCTTCACATACACTCCGACAGCTGGAGAGACAGAGAAGAGAAGAAGAATGAACACAGACGTGAGTGAGATGTCAATCTAATTTGAACATGTATGACAGCCAGGGATACTCAGGTGAAGCTGAATAGGGGTTTTTAGAACTTTTTGATGGCAACAGGGCAACCAGATATGATGATATAGTACATTTTATATAGCAAATCTCAGCTGCATGGTTGTTTATATAGTCACAAAATTGTAATCTGTATAAGCTCTGAAGTTTGTATATATATATAGCAAATCTCAATTGCCTGATCTTTTTATTTCATTACAAAATGTAACTACATTATTGCCCAGATCTTTATATAAAGTTAGATATATAAGTATGTTCAACTTTATCCACATACATACAGCACACTCACATAGGGCAATTAATATTATATAGCAAATCTCAATTGCGTGATTGCTTGTATACTATAGCAAAATGTAAACTATATTAGCTGCTAAATGTGACTATAAGTCAGGAAGATATTAACTTTTCTGTAAAGCTGCTTTGAAACAATGTTTATTAAAAAACACTATACAAATAAATGGACTTGACCTGATCCCCCTATGAAGGACCCCATTACTAAAATATAAAGGCATATATTTTCATGTTTAAAGACATTGAAGCATGATTATTAAGCATGATATTGTAAAAACAACATGTTTCCTAAATTAAATAATTGGCTTAAATATTAAGTATTATCTGAAAACTTAAAGTTAACAAAATATTTTTTATTCACTATCAGAGTTATGTTTAAAGTACCTAAAGAAACATTTTCAAATTTTAATATACTTGAATAACACTTTCCATTAAAAATATAATTCCAAAGTAGCTTCAGAGAATATTGCGTCACAAAGGCGGTCGCAAAAGGTTAAAGTGGCAAGTAGAAACTCTGTAGAAAGTCATTTTACGATTTAAACAAGACTTCAGATAGTCAGAATGAAATGTCATCATCAAATTAATTTGTTTCAAAATGTGAAAAATTGTGTACAACATATTTAATAAATTTACCAGCCCTGAAATAAAAAAAATTATTCTCTCAAAAAGAAAAATTAACATTTAAAATATTAAACAACATTTAAATGGTAATCTATGGAGCCCTGCACATGACATGCACAAAAAAGCCAGATATTGTAGCCACAAATTATGAATTAATTTAATCACGGCCACGTTTTATGTGTGAATAGTGACAGACCACTCATGGCATATTCAATAATGCATGTGTTCCAATTAGCAGCAAAAATTAAAACAACTTCTAAAAGTAGCTGTGTAATTTGAATATCCCAGATGCGGCAAAAGAGTCATGATATTTAACAGCAACTAACCTCCATTGTGGCTAATGCAGTTGTTTTCCACTAGGGCAACTGTGATTGGCCGTCGAGTGGAAAAGCGCTCATCTTCACTATCGATATCACTTTCCCATGCCATCAGTTCTCCTTCCTCATTGAAGTTCTCCGGCCCTCCTCTGTCCCTCTCTCCAACACCGACGACTCTCTCTCTGTCCTGTAAAGAGCGATAGCCCTCTCGGCTCACTGCAGACTCTGTGTCCTTCCGGCAGAACACAGCCAGCCCATACATACGGTTATGGGTAATATGGTTTCCAATGAGCTGAGGTAAACTAGATGACATAACCCATACTCCACAGCCTCTGTTGCCTACAAAACACCAGGGAATACAAGTCATGTATGATGTAGAAACAAAAAAAAACTAAAAAGAATCTTTATTCTGATGTGTTTCATCTTATTCAGTTGGTCTTGATCTGCGACTGCATCCAAAATAGCATACTCTCTTAAATAGGTACTTATTTTGAGTAAGTAATTACTTCAGGACCACTAAAAAAGTACAATCTATATAGTATGAATGCAATCCGGACATACTACAGTACATTCTCCATGCTGTCATTATCATGTGACCTCCTAGCATCAGTTGCGTCCCTTCACTGCCATTCATAAATCCTCTTCTGTGGCCTCATGGGAAAGTAGAGTGTCCATAATATTCATACTTTTTCCCTACTCTTTGATGAGAAACAGTGAATTCGGACATACTTCTTTTGTCACATGCTGTTTTTCACCTACTATAGGGAAGTATACGATTTCGGATGCAGCCTTTGTGTTAGGGTACACATTTTTGTGTTGCATGGCACTCGATTACGCACAAAATTAATTTCTATCACACACATATTTGCAACAAAATGAACAATTTCTGGTTAAGATCTGCCAAATGCCTTAAATGCAAAAAGCTGAAATATTCACACCGTAAATGTGGTTGCCTTCAATGAGACCCCTCCCTCTCTCTCCCACCACCACTCCGTCCGAGAAGCCGTAACAGATGAAGTTATTGCGCAGGACTGGATCGCCTCCTCGACGGATATCGGCGCCACCCCACTGATTCTGCCTAATAACATTCTCTATCAGAGACGAGAATAGTAAAGCAGCAGTTAAAATTGATTTAGTCATTTCAAGAGCATGAGGAAACACTTAAAATGGAAAGGTCTACAGTGCTTGAAGCACCTATAAACAATTAAATGGAAAATGGTGCTGCAGTCAAACAGACCAGAGATCAGTCCTCTGCCGTTCTCATTGACAGCAACGCCTGCTGCAAGACCCTGGAAAATGTGATTTCCACTATCATGAAGACAGAAAGAAACAGAAATCAGATCTTTAGTTTTATTAGTTTCATGATAACAAACAAATATATCGAATGGTTCTTATTATCCAATTTTATTTGCATTAAAACACTGCACTGCATACCTGACAACAGGATTGCCATTAAAGAGAATATACACGCCAGCTTCCTTGTTGCCGTAGATCTGGTTGCTGCGAATGGAACCTCTCCCGTTGCCTAGAACAACGATCCCTGAACGCAAGCCACTGTGGATTCTATTACACTGCAGCCAGGAAAAGAGAAAGGGAAAGAAAAGACAAAAACTGTTTATATGTATACATAGAAAATTATATGGGATAGTGGAAATTCCAAAATATCTTTTGTTTTCCTATATATATCTTAAATATAAATATCTTAAAGTTTTCCTTTAAATATACACAAACTTCTTAAAAAATTAAATATATATAAAACTCCCTTAAAACTAATTTATTTATTTAAAAGCAAAATCATGTAAAATATTCAGATATGCCACTGGCAAATTGTTTTTCATGTTTAAAGCATAAACCTAATTAAATTTGGCTAGATTTATGATGAGATTTTTTTTACTCTAACCCTAACCCTAAGGAAAATAAGATTCAAGAGATATTAACTCTTATAATCTAATGCAATTTGGTTATGTTTTTTTTTTTTTGTAGTGTACTAAAAGAAATGTGTACCAGTATGATAGGATTAGCCCCTTTGCGAATGTCTAGTCCCGCTTCTCCATTGGAGTGAATGTTGTTGTCAGCAATGAGACCTTGAGCAGAGAGTCGCAGGAACACACCAGACGCCTTGCACCCACACACTTCATTACGCAACATCACCATCTAAACAGAAAAAAGGGGGAGAGAGAGAGAGATTCGTGAAAGAGAACTAAAACATGAAAGAAAGATAAAAGAGAGAAGATGATCAGAAACAGTGCAATGTCATGAAATATTTTCTATGATTGCAGATATTATTAAATCTGCTGGTTGTAATTGTTGCGCTTCTTGCAAGCATACAATGGAATGAAAAAAATCTCTTTAGAAAATTTAGCTGCCAGCTGGTGCTTGCCTGTGCAGAAGGCTCTGACATGATACTAGGGTGTTATGGATAGTTGTCAGGAAGGTGCTATGCCATTACTAAGGTGTTTTGACTGGTTGTTGAGTATTACTATGCAGTTGCTAGGGTGTTCTAAGTGCTTGCTTTTTTGACATTTTAACATCTGCCAAGTAAAAATTGGAATTCTGATCACTGCTGCCCAAACAACCTGCACAAACTGAGATAACATTCACATCTGTAGTACGAACTGTGCAGGATGGGATAAGGCTGGAATACACTACACAAACGAGGATCTCACACAACCAGATTTTTAAGTCTTTTTCGAACACAACAGACTTACACAACTGCAATAGCATGCACCTCGTTGCATGCAAGATGGATGACAAAAGAAATGTATGTGTTCTAAAATAGTTTCAAAATATCAAACATGTTGTATATCCTCCGACTGGATGGATCATAGTCTGAAGCTAAAAATTTGTGTCCGAGTCTGTGCCCATCATACACTGCGTGTCATTCTGTGAAATCTCTCAACTCCGACTGCCCAATATCTGCAGAACGGCTCTCACTTTTGGCAACTAGCAACTAGAAACTGTAATTCAGGGCAAATATCTGGGCATTTAGTGTATTCCATACTTTATTTAATTATGCAAATCCAGGCACAAATAGCAAGAATGAGCTATTTATATTAAAACTCTGGCCAATAAGCCAAAACACCAATAAGCCAATAATTATTTTAATGTTATGGCCACTAACCGATAAATTGTCGATTTTACAATTCTATATTAATTTGTCTAAATAAATAAAAAAATGAAATAAAAATAAAAAAACAATTATAATTTTAAATGCTACAAGGGAACTCAGACATCACGATATTATAATGTACAGTGTGAAAATGGATATTGATTTTGAGATGTGCGAAAGTAGCAACAGATCTTTTTTTCTGTATTGTGACGTACATCTGTAACAGATTATAGAAAAAGAAAAAATGTAGGGTGGGGACTTTAGGGTTTAAGAAGATGAAATGATTGGAGAAGTCCTGCATACGTGACCAGAGAGAAGTATGTCGCTTTCACCGGAAGGTCCAGTAATGACATTCTGATCCCACTTATATTAAGTGTATTTAACTACTATGAACTAACATTTCAATTGATACAAAGCAACTACTGTGTAGATACAGTACATGTTTTTACATTGTACTTATATATATATTTTTTTAAAACCACTTAATAACAAGCTGTAACTAATTTCTGTAATTATATCTACAATTACACTTTTGACCCTTCCCTACACCTTAACACACCCTTAAACCCAACCATACCATAAAACCTGTTGCGCCACAGAGCTGGAAGAGGGAAATCGGCCAACTAAAGGCTTACTTATAGCCATCTCTGCACATTAAACTAGGTGAAGGAATTTTAACGATGACAAAATGACATACTTCAGCTTTAAAGGGCATGAAGATACATGTTTTACACACTTTGGCATTCTGGATGCAGCGCACTGCATAGTTGAGCCCCCTGAACACATTGGCCTCCAGTCGTGCTTGACCATGATTGCACAGATGCACACCACCTTTTCCATCCCGCAGCAGACAGCGGCGCAGCAAGCAGCCTTGAACTGATGCGACCAACTCCCGCGCCTCTGCGTCCCTCTGCAGCTCTGCAGACAGGCTCAACAGTGCAGGAAAAGCAGAAGAATCAGGCATAACCGCTTTGGAGAGATGCGCTAGTCCGTGCTGGTCGTATGAAAGCTTTAAGGCTGTGCTTTTCTCGCCATCTAGCTCATCATCTTCCTCACTTGACTCACTTGATGTTTCCATGCCATCCTCCTCAATCATTGTACCATCCTGGCCTGGAAGGAGACTATCTCCACCTTTCTGTTTTGCCCAGTTTGTTTCCCAATCTACTTCCTGCTTACTCCAGTCCTTCATTGTGTTTACTCCTTCTGAGGGTGTGTTTCCATGACTACCAGCACCCATGTTGTCTTTTCCACCCTGGTTAGATATTTCAGTTGACCCATTACTAGTCATCATGGTGAAGGTCTTGGCCAAGGCGACCAGGTGTTTGAAGGCCCAGTTGCGTTCAGAGACCGGAGCACCTTCCACAGTGACAGAGGCGGAATCGCCCCCTGAGAATTCACAACTGTCCATTAAACTGATGGCTACTCCCAGAAAATGGGCAGAGCTGCCCTGGGCAAAAGAGCAGAAACGAGCCTGGCACGTCCCTGGACCCCGGATATGCAGCTGACAGCCCTCAAAGTTGCAGTTGTCCAACTGGACATGTCCAGAAGATGTCTAAGAAAGAAAAAAATATGTAATTATAGCACTATAGGAAAACTAACAGTGTTTTCTGTGTAAAGCTTGTTAAAGAGTGGCAGGGACACATGGAACCAATATTAATCAACCTTCAGATAAAAGAGTTGATGACAAACAATGTTAGATGGACAGTCGGATAGACGAAGTGATTGGCTGGCTGGCAGGCAGACAGACAGACAGATGTGATCTGATTGATGTGTGAAATTGTTTTGAATCACTGGATACAGCTGTATTCCAATTTGTTTTCAGTAAACATGGAGAAAGGACACACCATCACTGATGTTTAAAGGCAGGGTAGGTGATTTGTTCAAGAAATATTTTTTTGTTATGCTGGTTGATCTCTTCACATCCTGATAGCAATCACAAAGGTAAGTGTTCTAAATGTATTTATATGTGTGTATATATATATATATATATATATATATCGTCTGTGGAAGGTGTAGGACCATAAAATGTTCGGTCTGAATGCAACGATACGATGTCCTACCTGCCTGTCAACGTATATATTTTTATACCTCAGCGCACCCTGCTCATGCAGACATCACACGTCATCAGCACGTTTCATGCAACGCAGAGTTAGACAGACGTCAGTCACCGAGCACCGCAACCGAAACAGCAGACACTTTTTACAGTTCCTCCTAAACCAAAACAACAAGCTTATGCTGCGTTCACGCCATAACTACTGTAATTTGGAAGAGATGGAACCAGTGACGTTATACTCTGAGCTGTCCGTGACTCGAATTTATGTGTTTTAATGGCAACACTATCAACATCTAAATGAATCTGCAGCAGTCAGGTGACACAGGTCAGTGCTCTTTAAGTTTAATATGTTCATTATTATTGGAATGTTATATGCTTTGAGACATGAGGTAGTTTAACGCGTCTCTCGTGACGCTTTTGTTTGCTCCCTGCTGTACGCACTACGCATTCATGTGTTTTGAAGAAGGTGTGGCTTTGGAGACACTCTGAAGGGAGGGTGGGATCTTATGCTTTCAAAAGCTAGCCCGCTATTCCTTGCCTCTCCGAAAATTGCCTGCCCTACCTTTAAAGGGCTGAAGTAATTAAATATAAAAATATATGTATGACTAGCTGTTGTCACTTTTTGTAAATGAATATGCACAGTACAGATGTTACAATTTCCATGCTTTTGATGTGGATGTATGGGCTTGCGAAAGTATCAAGGCTCACCTTATAAACCACAGGTGAAAACCACGCTGGCATGAATACCAGATTGCACAGTCTCGCCGTCGGGCACAGTTGATCAAAGCTCACCAACAACGATACATCCCCCAACTTGCCCATTCCAACAATCTCCACAGGCACCTTGAGGGACACCTCCACCTGTTCCTCGTATACACCCGCATGGAGCACCACTTTATCGTACGGCCCTGCTGCAGCCAGAGCCCCCCTAAAAGTCTCATACCCGCGCCCTGCCACTGTGCCAACATGCCAAACCCTGCGGTCTTTCCTCCGGCGGAAAAGGTGGAGGCAGGCAGACGAGTGGAGGTCCGAGCCGTTCTGGGTCCAGGTTCGGCTGGCAAGAGCATGCTGACGGAGAGCCTCTCTCCAGGACACCGGGGGCAGATGGGGGCGACGGGGCCAATTTGGGTGGCGACATTCAGGGCATCCTAGACAGAGCTGCCGCCAACGTGTGCTGTCCAAGCTCAAAATGAGTTCACGCCAGGCTCTGCACACCAGACAGCATCGACCCAGATCTGGCAGAGGCAGGTATGCCAGGATGAGCCGCCAAAGCTCAACAGGCAGACTTCCCACCTCCATATCTGTCAGTACCAAACCACCTCACCTGGGCAGATCACCTTAGAGTAAACAGGGCAAATGCATTCGTTCATTAAAATGATAAATATCATTGTAATTACAGTTTGCTTTCTTGTATTGACATATTTCCTGTTGGAACAATGACGATTTTTTAAATGTTCTTAAAAAATTATGTAACACTTTATTTTACAGTGTCATTGTTACATGCAGTTACTATAGTAATAACTATAAATTATGCATAATTACATGCAACTAACCCTAAACCAAACCAAACCAAACCCTAACCCTACATGTGGTTACTTAATATTACTCAGTACTTAAATGTATGATTACACAGTGTAACAAGGACACCTTAAAATAAAGTGTAACCAAAAATGATTTAGACATGAATTACAAATTACTACTTGCAGTTATGGGCTTATAGGATACTCTCATTTTTGGTCTGTTCCCAAGAGAAAGAGATTTTAAATGTGTATACACTGCCGCTCTAAAGTTTGGGGTCTGTAAGATATTTTTCTGTTTTTATCGAAGGAACTTTTATAGAATGCTGGATTTATTTGATCAAAAATACAGTACATTTTATAAAATTTAAAATAACTCTTTTCTATTTTAAATTTTTTTTTTAGATGGAATTTATTCCAGTGATGGAAAAGATGAATTTTCAGCAGTCATTACCCCAGTCTTCAGAGTCACATGATCCTTCAGAAAAACCTTTCTTATTATCAATGTTGGAAACCACTGTGCATTTTTTTATGAATATAAAGTTTAAAAGAAAAGCATGAACACTCCTGGGCAAAATAAAAAAGAAGAAGAAAAGGGCCAAGCCAAATATGGCTAAATATTTAGTGGTCTTTTAATGGTCTTAACCATTTTAGAAATTACCAAGAACTGCAAAAAAACTGTAGATAAAGTGACTTAGGCCAGAACAGCCTAAGTTTTTCCCTAAATGTTTAAGCCATGAGGGTACACTTGCAGGCAGCTTTTCCAGGAAGAGGAGTCAGTGTTGTTCCACTCAATGTTGATGGCTTCAAACGGATCATGAGTATTTGAAAAATGTCTCCCAGTTCATTTGAGTTCACAGTAAGACCAGTGACCAAATATTCACTACAGGGTTCAAATCTGCACTCTGACCAGGCCAAAACATGAGCCTGATGGACTTGCTCTCACGCCACTTCTTGGTTGTCTTTGCAACTTGGGCATAAGCATTGTCTTGTTGAAAAATAACATCTGATCATATCTCTTTAGATGTGGGAAGCAAGCCTTTCTGCATCCTGTACTCCAAAGCATTAAATGACTTTCCACAGTGAAGCAGTTCACCAATACCAGCAGCTAAAAAGGCTCCCCACACAATGACAGAGTGTCTTCCTCTATGCTTCACTGTGGTAGAGATGCATTTATTATTATATTTCTCACCAGATTTTTGAAGACGCCACTCTGGAACATCACCATGCAACTCACGCTTCATTGTGATTTATTCATTTTGTCTTTGACGTTTTTCTGAGGCAGCATTTGTTTAAATCTTGCTAATTTCCTGACCATGACCAATAATTTGTGGTTGAGACAATTAATGGTAGACTCACACACAGGTGGTAACGTTTCGAGCACATAGGCTCTTCGTCAGACGTAGGCTCTTCGTTACCACCTGTGTGTGAGTCTACCATTACATTTTTCACATTTTTGGAGCCATGGTGTGCCGACTTTTTTTCTCCTTTTTTATTAATTTCCTTGTTGAGCACCCAATTTGAGCAACATATTGCTTTGGATCTGATTTTACTGGTTGAGACAATTAAAAGCGAGCGTTTAGCCATTTTGGACTTATTTAGGCTTCCTTTTTTTCCCACATGAGTGCATTTGAAATCTTACTGACCCAAATTTTTGAATGGTAATGTATCTGATAAAGGTTAATTTTGTCAACTTTTAGGAGTACTCAAGCATAGCTATCTCTAATTTTGAATTCATGGGATGTGATCAAATATTTTTTAAACATTATTTATAAAAACCTATTTAGGGCTGCATAACATGCTGAAAGGTTCTTTCGCTATTGGATCACAGAAAGAACATTAAAATAGTTAATTTTATGCGAAAGAATAAAAAAATATTATTAAAACAAATTAATTTTCTACATTATTTATGTTTGCTTATATTTTGCCAATACCCGAAAATAACATTGTATCATTTACACAAAAAAAAAACCATTTGGAAGGGTTCACTGCAATCTAGAATAAAGACATTCTGTGAGATATATTCTGTACATATAATGTATTTTTGCAACAAAATGTATGCAAGGCTAACATATTTATTCTTGGCAAAGAGACAGTATAGCATCACAATGCCCTGACCTGCATGGAATAACAAAGCAACACAGGACGCAATAAGAGCACACAAATGAAAACAGACATGAATGCATTCGACTTAAGTTCAAAGGAAAGGGGGAAATGGCAAAGGAAAACAACACATCCTCCGTTTCTGCAGCAACTTTGTATCTGCGTGACAACGACATGTTACGATGCTGCCATCTGATTCAGCGCAATAAAAACAAACGAGCCTACCTCTGACAATACTGTTTCCAGCAAGCATTTTATCAGACGTATAGCTCATCGCGGCCGTTTTTCGTTACGAGGCAGAAACCAAACACCAATCCGGTGAAAATCTCGTATTTCTTGGCGTATTTTCCTTGTCTTTTTTTTTAAAGGCGTGGAAAACAGGGCTCACGTATTCAATCAGAAGGCGGGGGGATGTTCTCTCTTGTGAAGGATAACTTTTCCCTCTAGTCTGACACAGTTGTTAAGCAACATGGCTTTTACTGTGCAACAATACACGTGATATTTAGCTTTCGACCCCGAACTCCCCCTCTCTGCCTCATTTACACGAGCATCATGTTGTTGGCCAGCCAGATGATCGAAATGACGCACCGCTTTGTTGTGGGAATTTGTGTGCCTTTTTCGACTAGACTTGCAGACCACCCTCTATTTAATCATTTATTAGCAAACTACGTTAGTCTTGTAAGTGGTTATATGATTTATGTAAATATGACGATTTCACTAGTCATCTACACAGTAGCCTACCATGCCTACTAAAAAAAAAAAAACGAAATTATTAAAATGTTCTTAAATATCTCAATTACTCAGTAGTGTGTTCCTGGAAATGACAAAGGTTTCTCATTCAAATTAAAAGTCCTTGCCAGTCAGCAGTAATCTGGCTGAGACAAAGGAATTTTGAAATAAATTTTAATTAAAAAAAAAATGGTTTTGACATAATTTCTTTTATGAGTAGGCTATGATTAATGAAGTTACATAAGTGAAATACTTGAGAAAAAAACCTTAACAAAACTAAACAGACTCTAATATTTGGTTATACGAGCAACTCCCTTTTCAATTTGGAGAACACAAGCAAGCAGTGCTGTGAAATATCATGTGTTTGTCTGAATTGCCTTTTTGTCTCTTGATTTCTTCTCTAGCCTTTCCCTGTTAGCCTCCCACAGTCCACTAATCTCTCATTAAAATCTCCATCTCTGGAAGAATGGAGAGACCTTGTCTTATACTCCTCAAACCCCTGCAATTTTCAGATTCTACATCTCACCTCCATCTACATCCTCTCCAAACCATGATGGCATTTCCACTTTATTCAAAAAATTTTTTTTATGTCAATCAACACATCATGTTTAGTCTACCCCATCCAGGGCCGTCGACATAGGGGACAAGCGGTATCATTGTGTATCATTGTCCAAGATCCTCTAGGGCATTAACATTTTGTCCTTTCTTCATAGTCAAACAGCTTTAATTATTAAATAGCTGACATAATATTATTATTATTATTACTGAATTCAAAAAACACAAATCACTTCAACTCAAAAACAAAAAAAGTAACAACATTTAACAAAAGGGCATCTCAAACATTACATTTATTTAACAGAGACAGTTTTTTTGGGACTTTTCTGGGGTTTTTTTTGTGTAAATTTATTTGATTCAAAATAAATTTCAAGCGCTGTTTGAATGCGCATGTTTAAAATATGTTTTTTTCACTTGCTCTGATGAATACACTTTTATTGTTTAAATGTCATCTTCGTTTGAGACTTCACGTAGAGCAAACTGAATTCAATATTTGAAGCCAGAAGGCTAATTCTCAATGGGTTCCCTGCGGAATTTTGAACATACATTTTTAGAACAGTAAAATAAGACCTACAGTATATTGACACTGTCCTGTTTTGTTATACAACATAAATTATACACAATCATACCTAAAAGGTGAATTCTGAAACTCCTGTGCTTTTTACATTTTCTATATTTTTTAAATAATGTTCAGAAATGTGCGTAAGTTTTGAACGTTTTTATTCTAGGACATGAAGCAAATGCCACAAAAAGCCACAGTTTTGGTCTAAACATTTTGAAAGATGTCCCAATATATATATATATATATATATATATATATACAGTATATATATATATATATATATATATATATATATGTATTTTTCTTTTTTTTTCTTTGCAGAAGGTGGAATGAAATAAAGAAATCCCATACTGGCAGTTTCCCAATGACAAATTTACTCCATCATATAGTGCGCACCTTTTTTGACCATTTTTAAAATTCCTAACAGTGATATTTCTGATTGTTATTTAGGCCTATTTATTTATTTTAGTGAAGACTTTGAGGCATGTACAAATTAAACTACCCTGAGAAATATTCACTTGAGTAAAAAAGGTGACAACTAGCCCCATTCTTAATCCTGTGTAAAGCCTGACATATAAAATCATATTTAGAAGTATATATTTTTTTTTTATTGAACCTTTAGACATCATTGAAACGTTTTAAAAAAAGTTTGCATAGGCCTATGTATCATGTTTGATACATTAGGCTTTTGTGGCTCATGATATAGGGAAAATATGGTGCTCACACTTGAGGAGTAAAACATCTCAGGTTCATTCAGAGTCATATATATATATAGTCAGATATAGTCAGATATATATGGCGTATTTGGTGGAGATGATGTTATTTGGGCAAAAATTTGATATAACAGTAGATATAACTTTGATATAACTTTTTATAACAGTAGACCTATTGCAGACTTATAAAATGAATAAATATCCGTTGTCACTATTTCTTCCAATAATATTTTTTTGGTAAGGTGAAACTTAAAAGCTAGTTTTATCAAAGCTCTGTATAGTTTCTTGTAGGGGGTAAAATAGAATACAATGCAATACAAAAATGATTGAGAGATGTAAATAATTTTTTTTTCAAAAGCCTGTTGTAACATGATTTTTCTAAAAAATAAAATAAATAAAAAAACATTTTTGGATAATCAAGTTTCAAAGCTGTTTCACTTCTGTAAAAGCTCATATTGAAATATTAACGACAATATGAAAGTTATTCTTTATGTCAGCAAAAAGACACATGGTTAGGCATGTTTAACCTGAACGTAGACACTTTTAGAATTATACTAAAAGGCATTTTACTTAGGCTGCTTACTAAAAGTAAGTATGACAATCAGACTTCGTAATTAATTAAAAAAAAAGTATCATATCATATTGCTTAATTCATGTCCTTGTTCAATGTGTCAGTCAATTTTTCTTTTATTTTATACAGCTATTTTATTTGCTTTGTAGCATTTTACTCTGTATGAGTCTGGACTGATTATATTAATAAAATAAAAATGAAGTACAACCACATTGAATACAACTAAGTTACATTGAAACAGAGAGAGAGAGAGAGAGAGAGAGAGAGAGAGAGAGAGAGAGAGAGAGAGAGAGAGAGAGAGAGAGAGAGAGAGAGAGAGAGAGAGAGAGAGAGAGAGAGAGAGAGAGAGAGAGTGACCATGATCTAGAGATAGAGAGAGGAAGACATAGACAGACATGGACAGAGAGAGAGCAGAGGATCTGTAGACACTGTGATCTACAGCACATAGAGGATGAGGAACACTTTCTGCTTTTCTGCTCTAAATATACCAGTATAAGAGACACTTTTCTGCCCAAATTTGAAGCCTTGATCCCATCATTCTATGAACTGAGCGACACTGTCAAAATGTCCTTCTTACTGGGAGAAGATGTAAATACAGCTGCACTAGCGGCTAAATATGTGCTAGCTATTCACAACGCCAGAGACAGCTAATTCTCCAGAGTGATCAAATGTATTTATTTATCTATTTATTAAGATAGATTGTGTTTATTTATCTATATATTTACAATGCTACATATGACATGATTTATACATATATGTTCACTGTTTGTTTTATTATTTATATTTAATATGCTTTGGCAACATTGTGTTACACAGTCATGCTAATAAAGCTAATTTGAAATTGAAATTGAGAGAGAGAGAGAGAGAGAGAGAGAGAGAGAGAGAGAGAGAGAGAGAGAGAGAGAGAGAGAGAGAGAGAGAGAGATATGTTGTCTCTATAGGAGTGGCAGTACTGGTGGTGGTGATGAGTCTGACTTCACTTCAAACATGGCTGCACAGGACGAGCTCAGTAAGTTTAACTCATTCTATATGTTGTATTACTTCATTACTGCATACTTGGTTTCAATACTCTCTTCATTATTGGTCACTTAATTGAAGATTGAGCTTATCTTGTTGTCTGTTTGCTTACCGGTAGTTACATAAATAATATTTGTAAAGTGAATATCAGTTTGGCAGCTAGTCGGCTAGTATGTGCTTACAGAGGCCCAATGCTCAGTCATGCTCCAAAATGAAAGTAATTCTATTGGGTTTGTCTAAGTAAGAGGATTCTTCAACCTGTATTTTTCGCGGAATTAGCGTTATCTGAATGTCATAGTGGTCCATGGCCGGTTGTCATTTATTGACAGCGTGAGAAATAACTGTAGATAATAAACGGTAACGTTGGTTAGCAGTGAAGCTATGCAGCTCGCACGCTAACCAACTAGCGAATTTGAACGTCTATATTTACTGTTTTTCTTTTTACAGTTAGTCTTATTGTCTGTTGTTCATTTGCAAGCTTGTTGGATGATTTTATTGTAAGTTTATTCATTCATAGAGGGCCGGTGAAAGACACTCATGTCATGGATATAACAGTTAGCTAGAATTCATTGCATTCATTCACAGTCTCACTTTAATAAATCTTTTGAATAAATGAGAAGGTTATTATAATTAACCTGTGATCTTAAAGGAATTATACGAGAAAGTCTTTCCATTCAAATAAATGTGAAAATAGAGGAGGTGGTCCTTTTTCATTTTGAACACTCTATCTGTTGCTTACTTTCTTTCTCTTTGTTTCCTTATCATAGACCAGTTGGAGCGTGTGTTTATGCGCTTGGGTCATGCAGAAACAGATGAGCAGTTACAGGATATTATATCAAAATTCCTGCCCCCTGTCCTCCTCAAACTGTCCAGTGTGCAAGAGGGGGTTCGCAAGAAAGTAAGTGTGTGTGAGAAAACTGTTTGTAGTGCAGAACCAGGATTTGCAATTAGGGGTCAGCGGAAAATATATATAAACATTTTCTCTTGCATTTCTGACATATCTAATTATTAACTCGTTTCTTTTAAATTATGATCATACAACATTTTGTGTATTATTATACAGCATGTCAAAATGTTAACTCTTGTTCTTAATGAAAGTTATAAAGTGTTACTGCAGAAATCTATATTTTCTGGGTTGTCTGATTATATGTGTGAGTTGTCCCTGTGTCTGCATGGGGATCCTTGGGTCTCTAATAGTAAAAAAACATTGAAAGGATAATAGAAAAAAAAATGAATGCTTTGTACATGTGAATGCGTATTTGTATGCTGAGAGATACAAGTTCAAAACATACTTCCCTTTATTGCTTAAGTTGCTTTTCTTGAGCAGGTGTTTTCAGTAGGCCTGTTTGTATTATGCATTTTGGTCGATCACAAGA